CTAAAAAAAAATAACAAGCTAATGTGAAGATAAAAGTTGATTATCAAGATTAGCCGATGAAAGGAAACATATGTGCAGTTCACGCAGTGCAATATCAGTCTTATGATATATATACACAATACAAGTAGCATTAACAGCAATAAGAGAAGAAGAAAATCACACATAAACGATTCGTGTGACAATTGATATAGATTGTTTCGAAAAGCAAAATGAAAAGAAAAAAAAAACTATCCCGAAACGAAAAACGAAAGAGCACGTCACATCAGGCAGCAGTAGCCGATAGAGTGGGAATGCAAAAACACATTCAGTTACTGAGCGCTTGCGCGATTACATTAACTTCACGTCGTGTTATTAATGCTGGTTATTTGTTGTTGTCGTCGTATCTTAGTTTATAATTGATCAGTTTGCAGTTTTAAGCTTTGCGCTTTTAGTAGCTATATACACATGCTATATGTTGCTGTTGCTTAGACAGCTGATCATATTGAAATGTGCCATTTGCTTGTTGTTGCTCATTTTTTTGCAAGCCACTTTTGCAGTGTAACACAATCAAATAAATGAAATTATATAAAAAAAAAAACATTGACCAGAATGGAAAAAAGCCAGAAGCTCAAATCGACAAAATGGCATGAGCATTATGATGAAAAAATGAAATAGTTTTTTTTTCTCTCATTGAAACGGAGACAAGGGCCAGAGTTTTTCTCATTTGATTAAATATCAAAATAATATTTTCATTACGTATTGAGAATGAGATGTTAGCCTCATTATATATGAGCGCCGGACATACTAATACATTGTTTTTCGGTTGTTTGTGTGTGTGTATATATGCACGTTATGCGTTGTCTTTTTCCATTGTACATACGGCAATTGATGAAGATTGCCAAACTGTCTCACTCGCTCTGATCGAATTTGTTGTTGTTAATGTTATTATTATTTCGATCTTCGATCTACATTGATTAGCACACGGACTACGTGCCTCATACGATCCTATATTTTATATTATACACTTGTATGCCTATAACTGAATATTTTGCTGTGTTTGCCAAGTGTTTCCTAGCCTCATTGTTATTATATACGTATTTTTTTCGCCTCTCTTTCTGTGCGGTTTAGTTGTGTGCTATTCAATGAACGATCATATGCTATATCATATAAGGTGTTTGTTTTAAAAATTTAAAATAGTTGTAGTTGTTGTTGTTTTTTGTGTTAGCTTCTCTTCACATCAACATCATTATAAATTTTTATTGCTTCAATCTTTCTGTCTCACTCTCCATCAACTGACGTGATTATTTTGTTCAAACACATGCCGATCGTGCACGCATATTTTTGAATTTTATATGTGAAATCTATCTAATTCTTTCTCGCTTTTGCCTGAATGAACGCAAGAAGAAAAAAAATATACCGCACACAATGTTGCGTTCAATTACATAAGCAAATTAATTCTAATCATCATGCAAAGGAGAGAAAAAAAAAACATGTATAGAACCACGCAATTTCAACGTCAATCGGTTCAACACAAGAGAAAAGTTGCACACAAGTATTAATTTTGCAAGAGAAAAAAAAATGATGTAAAATGGCCAAAATGCACGTGTCGCATATATAATTTCATAACAATGCGACGATGTCAATGTTATTTTACAAACCAAATTTAATATGAAGAGAAACAAACACATCGGCCCAAACAAACTAGTTTTCGAATTGATTGAATCTCAATAACAGACTTTGGCAGACAGTAGCGTATTATCAATGTTATGTCTGTTATTTCATTTCTTTTTTTTCGTTTGAGTGTGGCTTATTTTTTATGTGCTCAATTTGATTTATCGACGATAAACTGTTTGATTTATTGTAAACATACTTGAAACAAAAAAAATTACCGCATGGCCGGGCCCATTCAACTCGGCTTAGAGTCGAGCTTCTTTCTATGATATCATTTTTTCGATTCTGTTGTTTGCGACTTTGATTTTTATGCTGCCCTACAACAGCGATTAAGACGAACGAAGAAACATTTTTTCAATAAAATGATGATCAATTTCGCATCGAATCTGAGTAAGGCGATGAAGTTAAAATCTATCATCATAATTTGTTCGTATGAACTTAAGATGAGATTATTCGTGTTGTTTTGCAACATTCCTGTATTGTTAAAAATTGCTTTCATTCCATTTTAATGAATGTGAATTTTCCCAACAGCAAACATTATTTCATTATTTTGCGCAAAAGATTTTGTTTTTGTTTTCGTTTCATTTACACCTCATAACATCAATCTCACGATCATTTCTACGTATGGATTATACATGACACACCCACGACTGTTAGGTTTTTTAGTGTTAGTGATAGTTAATCATACAGTAAATAGCGATGTGGTGTTGGTATTTTGCACACATTTTATGTAATTTAAATGTTCTTGAACAATAAATAATATTAATGGGTGAAAAAAAAGACAAGCAGTCCCACAATTATTTATAATCGATACAGCGGCATCTCAATATGCGCACTCAACTTGTGGACTTAATCGTCATTTCATAAACAATTCAATGTGTGAAATTCATTTAGCAAGCCGTTTCTGTTTTATTCGAATGCGATGCTCTTTGATGGATTTTCTCTCTCCGCTTTTTATTTATACGATCGCTGTCATAAACACAAACTAATTTTGACCTTAATATAACACACTCGTTGCATGCGTTCATTGTGCACATTTTCGGAAATTCGAAGCCGTTGCTAATTAACCGCTGAATGAGAGAATGGTTACCGGTCTCTGCCTTATTTTGAGTACAACATTGAGACAATTTATATGCGCAAAGTCAAGAGCAGAGATTAATACATTTAAAGACGTTTAAAGTACCATTACCCAGCGAATAATTAGCGGTACGTCCTTTTTGTATTAGCGTCCAAATGCAATTCTTATGCAAATCAAAACCGCATATGAATGAATACATTAAAATTAATTACAGTCCATTTGTTATAGTCGCTCTTGTTATTATTTATTGCTTATTTTACTTCTCGTTTCGATCTGAATTTGACTCGAATCAGAATGAATTCATTTTGTGTGAAAGAAGTGAATGGGAACAAAAGCGATCATCAGCGAAAGAGAGAGAAAGAGGGAAAAAAACAATGCATCGAGTAAAATCATATTAATCGACATAAACGAATAATCGTTTAGTTTGAAAAATAGTTGCGCTCACACGCACACACTATCGATAAATAAATGACCAGCATGAATATTCAGCTAAATTCCAAACCTATTGTCCGCATCAAATACTCAATTTATCATTGTTGCAGATCATATAGCACACAGGCACATAGTCGCGAACATTACATCGCTTATCCGTTGTCGGTATCCAAACACATTTGCGCTGAATAAAAATGCCAACAACAACCAGCAACCTATACGAATGCCAAAATGAAATGCCAAACGTAATACGATCGAAAATCTCTTAAAGCTCACCAACAAAGAAGAGAAGAAAAAAAAACACACATGTATATCGGCAATTTATTGTGTGTTGTTCATTTCAATAGGCACAGCGAAAAAGAGCGCGCGCAAGAGATAATGTAAATTTATGAAAATGTTTGCTTATCCATGGAATTTGTTTGGCTTTTTTCTACTTTGCCATCATTTTCATTCGTTCCATGTGTCCATTTCGATGAAACAGTAATGAAGAGAAAATACACACACTCTCCCGGAATCACAAAATACCACTTTCTCATTTGACTTGGTTTTTTGTTGTTGTTGTTGGTGGCGGCGTTGTTATTTTTGTGTGTCGTCTTGAATCAGTTAAATCGCATTTATGACCATATGAGTTGCTAAAATAGCCGCCGCAAATTCATTCAAATGAATGAATGCAAAGAAAAGAACGAAGTAAGCTGAAATAAACAAAAGTAAGTACGAAAGTACACACGAAAAAAAGATGTGAAAAAAACGCAAACAAAACGATTAAAGAAAATAAAACAATTTTTTTTTAAAATGAGAACGAATGTCAAGCTTTAAAAAATCACACACAAAACGAGAAACAGCAGCACAAAGAGAGAAGGAAAAAGAATAAGGAAACGCGAAGCTGTTGCTTCAAAATAGCGCATATTTCAGATATGAAGAAACAAAAACAGAATCGCAATTTGGAATTTAGCCCGGGATACGATATCATATACATACACACACACACACACCGCATGAATGTATAACACTAAACGTAATCTCTCAGTATAATGTTCCGCGCCAAATTTGAAATTTACAAACAAAAAAAAAAATACACAAAGTGCTTAACACAAGACGCATTCATTCAACTTTTTTTTGTATTGCTTATTCTTTTTATTTTTATTTTCGTTGTGACTTTTGTGTGTGTGTATTTTGATTGCAAACAAAGTCTCACGCAAATTTACTCTCTTATTGTTGCAGTCGGTAATGTGTCACTTCGGTGTCAATCGACATGCACCGTTGTCATCTAATTTTATATGTGCTTCTGATTTCACTGTTGCGCGGAATTTAATATACTATGAGTTGATACAATGTTGCATTCACTTTGTACGGGCAGTGTAACAGCTATCTCGCGTATCATGAGCTTTGATTTGCTTTGTGTGTGAAAACTGAATATATACGGTGATGGGTGATGAAATTGAACAAGAAAAATAGCTGTAACAGCATTGCTCATACAACAATAGTCGCAACACAACAATTCGAACTGAATAAATGGTGTGAATATGAGAAAAAGGAAATAGGCGGCTAATCGCTTCGTTGGGGCGCGGGATCACTCTTTTTTTTTTGTTGTTGTTCATAAGTACTATAGATATACATATATATTATTGCTCTGGCTCTGTCTGTTGTTTATGCTTATTGTGACTCAATTACTGTGAGAATTTTTCCACTTTTGAAGTGTTTGTGTGCTTTTGTTGCTATATTATTATTATTTTATTTCGTTATTCAAACAATTTTTTTTTTCTTCATCTTTCACTTCGCGTGAATTATGACCGACAAATGAATATGATCACAAGTTAAAAAAAATGTGCATGTGACTCACCCGCTTAAGGACTTCTTCTAGTGCTTCACATGATTCGGCGGTTAAATTTTGTTCGCGTAAATTCAGAACGGGTCGCCTTGAATTCGAATTTAAATCCAATGTATCCAAATGTTTCATGATCGATTCAATTGGTTGTGAATTGTGACGTCGACAAGATTCACGATAGAATTCGGCCAATTCTGATACACAGGTGGCTGGTTTAACTGCATTGAAAAATGAACAAATTAATACTAATTCATACCAAATGGCGGTATGCATAAAAAGTTTAATAAATAGATTTGCTACTAACCGTATGCCCATGGATCTGCCGGTTCCAGATATCCCGTAACAAGTTCACTATCATTTTCCGGAAATGAAACTCGACGCGAAGACTGATACAGTTTACCGGTTGAGTTAGATCGCACTTGGACATGTTTCAATCGTTTTATATCTGCGGTGGTGGACGATATATCATCGCTAATTGTTTCAACATTCGGTGAAATTAGAAGTTGAACCACCTTCTTTCTAGCGACCGCTCGTTTTACGCTTCTATCGCTGTCCGATGCCGCTGATGATGGTAGTGATGTTTTTGGTGTTGTTTTTGTTGTGTCCTTGATTGTTGTATCGTTGTTTCGTATATGTTTGGTTGACGTTGGTGTGGTTTCCTCACATTCAACATTCGATACAATTGATTTGTTTTCATTTTGACAATTATTTGATTTACTTGCTGTGTCACTATCATCTGTATTTACATTTGCACTTATTTCTTCCATGTTGCTAATCGATTCAATTTGGTCGCCGTCGTTTACACTTATCGTCGATGATGTTGATGTTGATGAATTTGATGCTGGTGATGATGACGAAGAAGATTGAAGCAATAACAATGAATCGTTTTCCCCTGTGGACTCATTTAAAGCAACACTTGCTTTTCGCATTTAGTTTATTGATTTGAGTATCTTCTTTCTATTTCACTTACACGTTGTTATTTCGATTAGCGCAATTACATTTGGTCTCTGTGTTTTATATATCACTCAATATCATAAAATTGGCGGCATTCTCAAATTTATTTCGAAGCACTTTTAATTTCGCTGACTTTTTTGTTGTTGTTGTTGTTGCTATATGTATGTATTGTTGTTCTTATTATCGTCGTCGTTGCTCACTTTCAAATCACACAAGCACCACAATACACAAAATGATTTCTGTTGTGATTTATTCGTTTGGATGTAAATTTTATGTGAACCTTTTGTTTGACGTTAGTTTTGTGAATCCTTCTGCTCAATATTTGTTGCTCAGCTGACATACATACGCGCGCAAAACGGCACACTCGTATTACACTGAATGGCAACGTTTTTTTTAACCACTTGAATTTTGTTTTTGTTTTTTAAATTATTGTTCTCTGTTTTTTTTTTGTGTGTTATCACGATCGTGGTCGTTTTCTTACCTCACAATTCTTTTGATGTTTGTGATTATTATTGATGCAGTTCAATTCAACTGGGTAATTAAACTACCATCGAAGTGTCCGTAACTATTTGTGTGTGGCGAGTATTCAAATATAGAGGCAAAGCACAAAACCGAATAATCAACTGGGAATATTATTTGAAATGAAAAAAAAAACACATTGAGAAAAACACACACACACACCAAAACATACGACTAAACGAAAATGTATGAAGATAGAGAGAGAGAGAGGAACGATACAAAAAAATTCTGTCATTCATTTGCGGCCGCCATCGATTATTTGACTCTGTGTGTTGTTGTTTTATTTATTTTTTTTTGCTTCTCTTGTTTGTCGTTTCGAAAAATTGGTTATTTTTTTTATTCTCTCCCGTTTTCGTTTCTAATTAACTATTCGCCTTTTATCTGCTTCCCGTGAGCGCTTTAAATTTCTTTTTGCGAATTGATTAATTAATATCTTTTTATCTAACTTCTGATGAGCCTTTTTTTCTTCTTTCTAATGATATTCACAAATATTTAAGTGTCACTATTATTCAGATAAAATAAAAAAAAATTGTGTTGTTGTTGTTTTCTTCTCACTCGTTTTTTAGTTACATATTATAACACGGCATTTAACTCATTCATCAGTATGGATGCAACACGATTGCCACCACATAAACACACACATATATATATGTACTGTACACACAATATGAGAAAATTTACTAAAACGCGAAAATGGTTTTTTTGATGATTTTCTGCTTGTTTTATTTTATATATGTTATTATTTATTTATTTATATTTTTTTTTGTTTGAGATTGTCACTCACTCGGTGTAAATAAGTGGTGCGAAAGAGAAAAAAAGGCACAATAAGCTACTAAGCCGTACTTGTTGTCAGATTATTATATATTTTTTTCTTTCTTTCGTTTAAAATAATTATGTTGTTTTTTGTGTTCAGCTTGGAAAAATTGACACTTTTCTTCTCTGTATTGTGTTTTTTTTTGTTTGTTTGTCAGCTTCTAGCAGTGCACTTGCAGCTATATTTTGGCTACGTTTTTTTTTTATCTCTAAGATTTTATAAAATGATTTTCTTGTTGCTTGACTTTATTTGTTTTTTGTTTGTTTTGTTTCATTCAATCTCAAAAACACTAAACTTATTCAATACACTTTCAATAGCGATTTTGTACTTTAAATTTGATTTTAATTTAGTGGCTGCATTGGATTCAACTTAAGGCAAATCAATGAACAAAATTATATTTAACAAAATGAAGAAAAAAAAAATGTTAAAGAAACAGGGGAAAAAACTTTTTACACAAATTTTTTTGCCCAACATTCGTTAAAAAAGAACCCAGCAGCAAAGAATTCTTACGTTCACATTCATCCAAGTCAAACAACACAATAATCTATCTATTTTTTTTATTGTAATATTTAGATATATATATTATTTTTTTCTACTTCACCCGTACTATAGTCCCATACTATTTTATTTTTGCCATGCGCTCTCACTGTTTATTCGAACGCTAACACAAACAAAATGATGAAGATGAAAGAAAATGGTATTACATTCGGAACACACAGAGTGTGTGGCGAACGAGAGAGAGAAAATTGGTTGAAATGTTTTTCAAGCGCGCACACATCGATCATTTATATTTCGTTAGATATTTTGGGCAACAGATACATAGGCATGCCATAAGTGCTTACGTTCAATCGCTCGTGTCACAAACATATGTAATATTTACAATGTGTGAGAGTGCACAGTACTGTGTAAAAATCTTTTGCTCCTAGTTTCCTCTCTATCCCATTCTCTTGCTGTCATTCTCTTTGGTTTACGCTCTTTCCTCGTATGTACACTCGCGCGCTCTCTCTCTCTCTCTCTCTCTCTCTCTCTCTCTCTCTCTCTATCTCTCTCTATCTCTCTCTATCTCTCTCATGGTACACCACACAAATAAAAATTCATTGTCATACATCTAAAATAAGACATATAAAATACATCGATGTATAAGTTTGTCATCTCTCACTTCATTCAAACGAAATTGTGACTCTCTCAGTGTCTCTCTTCGAAATTTCTGCTCTCTTTGAGAGCATATCTATTGAAATATTCTTTCTATTAAATTTTCTACTTTGATTTGACTTTTCCAATTTTAAGCGAAATGTTGGATTTGTTAGTAATACACAGTTGCAGTTAGTTTGAAAGGAAATTGCATCACTGTTATGAAATTTTCTAATGCTTTCAGTTACATATATGTATGCATGAGCTGATTTTTTTTTAGAGCGAATTCACAGAGAGCGAATTGAATCAGAGAGAAAACACACAAATATAAATACTCACATATACGTACAGACTGAAAAAAAAAAACTGAGAGAGAAAACCATCATGCTTTTGTTGCTTGTGTGTACGTATGAACTTATATTTAAATGAAACAAATATAGAAACATTATATTTTCGATATCAATGAATATTTTCACAGAATCGATACGAAAATAAAAAAAAACGAAGATCAATCAATCCATTTTTGCATGTCTATCATAACAATATACGGTGGTGCATGTTAAAATGTGTGCGTTTGATTATATAATAAAAGGGCTCATAATATATTTTCTAACAATTTCAATGGGCTCTCAATGCAGATTTTGCGCTTTCACTTCGTGTCATTCTCTTTCCCACTTATTGCATTTTGAATTTTCTGTATGTTGTTGTTACCATTTTTCCATCTCGTGCGAACTAATATCAATGTGTGCGCAAATTGACTGTAAACTAGTAGCCAGCTGATTTGTGTTATTGTTATACATGTCAAATTAAAACGACGAAAAAAAGCGTTCCATTAAAAGTAATTGTACACACACACACACATGTATTGAACGTGAGCGAATACCAACGTTGACGATTTGATTTATAATCAAACACGTATTTGCATTGTGTATGCATTGGTTGTTGTTGTTGTTATTTGCAAGTGCACTTCATTTTGTACCGAGACACTATTACCTCTATATCGATGCATTCGAATTCGTGTTCATACATTTTTAGATCGTCGTTGTATTTTTATTACCAATGACCGTGATGCTTGCATGTAACAACAAAAATAAAAAAAGCTACACCATGATACCAATTTATACAGGCTGTCAATAATGTAAAAACACAAAAATCGAATAGATTTTCGTGGCAATTTTGAAGGCAATAATAAACTCATTCGAACGTTTTACTTATAAAGTCATATCTATTTTTAGCAAATAAAAAAAACACCATCAAAATATACATGATGTTCTCCCGTCGACTTCTTTTTCGTTCTGTTTTGTTTCTCTATTCGCTTTTATCATTTGTGGTTATCGGTGTTTATCTTCATATTTTTTTCTCTTCATTTGTACTTAATTTTACAATATTATATTCTGGTTTAGTTTGATAAGATCGCTTTTTGTGAAACTCTAAAAAACGAAACAAGTCCCCAGTGTCTCTCTCTCTCTGTGTGTGTGTGTGTCTCGACCATTTTTTATATCTTCTTTATTTCTCGTTGTGTGCCAGCCTCTTAGCCTGCCATTATGGTGTCCATACAACGCTACCAATTTTCCGATTCAATTCTGATAATATTAGTGTGGCTAATTGTTGTCGTTCCGGTGTAAGCCTATTACATTTGGAAATATAAAAATAGTGAGCAATTTTATAAAATTTCACTGATTTTGGATGGAAATTTACTTGGCACAAAGGTCAATTCCTTCGCTTTCCTCTTCTTTGCGAACACGTTTACGTTTTGGTCGTATTGCCGGGCCATCTTTACTATGGTCATCGTTTATGGTTTGCCGTTCTGGGCTCGAAGCCTTTCGTTTTCCCTGGTATCCAAAAACAAACAAAATTAATTTACGATTTTTTTAGTTAGCTGCTTGAATGCCAAATAAGTTTCAATTATTTATTTTTGTTTTGAAATTTTTATTATCTCAAACTTGTGTATTGTGTTGTACCTTTGTCTCTTTCTTCTTTTTCTTTTTTTCAAACTGTTGTGAATCATAGTAATTTGGTTTTTCTCGTCGTACTCTCGATGTTCGGCGTCGTTCATCTACTTCTTCGACCGCTTCACGTATTCGCTCCGAGCGTCTTGCCTTGAAGAATGCATAGCCGCATTTACATGCTTTTGTTGCGACCGCAACTCGTGCATCACACTTCGGGCAATTTTTTACAATTGCTCGACTTTTTACCATTGCTTTTCGGTAAATGTGACTATTCAATAATCAATTCACTTTTTTCACCTCTTCGCATCGACGCAAAAATCAAAACAAACAAAATTTTGTGTATGTGTTTATTGCAGACCGATTGGCACTTTTATTTTGTAAGTGATGTTTATTAGTCTTCCATCATTGTTTTGACATTTCACTGTCATTCGTGCATACAGCGCTGTGGGCGGTCAATGTTTCAACTGCAAACATATTTTGATTTAAATTCATTTCTGGTTACCATAACAATTTTTTGGAATAATAAACATTACAAAACATACTGTAGTTGTGTGAATGTTGTCAACAAAATAATTTATCAAAAATTAAAACAGCATGGAAGCAAGTGAATATTTTTTTATAAATATAACGGGACACATTGATTTTGCTTACTATCCCATTGGTTTTGATGGTCAGAAATTATTTGTTCGGTATGATGTAGTGGCTGGCCCAGACTGGGAACTCATTTCGGGTTTCAGTTCGGGCGTTACACAAAATGCAAGCGTTGGACAATCAAATGATAAAGTTGTATTTAATATGCCAATGGAAATAATGTTCAAATCAACGAATCCATTTGGATGTAAGTGTTTATTTTGTTTGAATTCTATTTAAGAAAATTAATGTTTTTTTCGATGCTAATTCAACTGTTCAATTCGAAAGGGCCACAAATCGTATTTAGTTTGTATGGAACGAATTGGTGGGGAGCGGAATCGTCAAAAGGATATGCACGAATGCATGTACCACTTGGTGGAAAACGAACAACAATACGAGCTCCAATTTTAACTGCACAATGCTCAAATCTATGGTCATCATTATCCAGCTGGTTTACGGATCGAAGTCCTGAATTACGTGATCCAAAAATATTGCTGGAGGGCACCAAAAACAAAGGTCTCAACATGGAATCTTATGGTGAATTAGTCGTAACATTACAGTCAATTACAAGAGGCGGTGATGCATTGTCCTTGGAATGGAACTAGTACGATAACATGAATTGAGATCACGAAATGCAAAATCGGCGTATTTTTTTTTTGATTAGCTGTATATTTCGCTATATTTAACACATCTATGTAAAAAGCTGAGACTACAATATTTGGTTTTCATTTGCGTCATTCACAAAATATGTACCAAATATTCGTTTAGAAAATTTTTGTTTTTTATTTTGATTTTTGCGGTGTTTATGCGGTTGGTTTTTTTTTTGCTGTATTCATAGTTGTTTAAGATCATAAATAAAATTTTAAGATGAAACACAAAATAATGAGATATTTTCTTTTACCATTTTGAAACCGCTTTTTTCAGCTTACAATATCATTATTGAAGATTCGTTCCGTTTTCGAAAATTCTTTTGAAATAATGATAATGCCATCTGTCGAAAAAAAGCAACATTTGCATTTGTTTCGCAGTTTGGATGAAAAGGAATTAAAATGAGTAAAGTAAACACCGGGTCAATATCTCTAAATAAAGAAACTCATAGTAAAATTGCTGAGGAAAATTATATAACACACATTTTGTCTCTTTCTATGTCCGAAACATTATCTCTAGTGATATTGACGGCGTGCTAATTGAAATTAAACAACAGACTAGACAACATTAATGTGATTACTCGAGACTCGTGATTGTGTGCGTAAAGCAGATTTGGAAACTATTAACCCATTTAACTTGTTCGTGACTATTTTTCGAAAATATTTTGGGGGAGAGATATTATTTTATAGCTATGTCCTGATGTTATAAGCATCGCCGGAACTATGTCATTGAATATAAAAATGTTACTCTCATCCATTTCAAGAATCCATTGATTCTTGTAATCAACGAAAAGAGTACCATAAATAATTTTGCTATATGCAATGGGTTAATATCCGTTCCGGCAAAACTTGTTAATCTCCGTTCGAAACGTAATCATGATCAGCAATCAGCAAGCGTGTTAACTTACGCACTTGCGTATCATTTAACTGACACGCATAAAAAATACAAAAGTGTTTTCTTTTCGGAAGTAATTATGTCGGCACAAACGATTCTAGTTGGACTATCTATTGACCCAAATCGAATAAGTGATCAATTTCGTAGAAAAGACGCGGTGAAATTATTGGAAAAGGGTCTCCTCAACTTTTTTCCACAGCTAAAATTGATCTTTGAAACAAACACATCCGATGGATATTTGTGTGTTTTCTCACAAAATGACACGATTTTTCTCAACGTTCGTTTCTTCAACCACGGCATCATTGCCATTAACATTGAATATTTTAAAAACGACATCGAACAGCCGCTAGTGACGTTTGATGTAAGTGTTTATACAGATTTGTTATTACTCAGTCAATTGTATGTTTCGAGTTTACTTTTAAACGCGAAAAAAAATACTTGACTAGCGAACGCTAGCATCAAATAAGAATAATTTTTGAAGTGATAAGAATACTTTGTTTTAGTTAACGCGGCAAGTGCGAAACCACTTGGAAAAAACCCTAAATGCAATTGGCCATGCTTATCCACCTATACATAGGAGTCAAATTAGAAAATATTTTCTATCGTCGGGTGAATTTCATTTCTTCTTTATTAACAAAGACTAAGTAACAAAGAATAAGTTTTTATATTATCGAACTTTTTATTTCTCTAAAAAAAGATGATCGAATTTTCGAATTCGATATCGACAAGGTCATATTTGAAGGTACCTCACCATTTCAAAAGATACAAATTGTTCATTCGAAAAGTTTGGGAAATATTTTGGTTCTTGACGAGCTTCAAAGTAAGGCTTCATTTATTTGAATATTCTACTATTTAAAACAAAATCCCAAATGAACAGATATTGCCGAATCGGATCTGATCTACACCGAAACATTGATGCAGCGTGGCATTGAAAATTACGAGGGCAAAGAAATTTGCATCCTCGGCGGTGGCGACGGTGCTCTCTTGTACGAGTTGTTGAAGGAAAAACCAAAGTATGTCATAATGCTTGAAATTGATGAAATGGTGATGCAGGTGTGCAATAAATATATGAAGTCAATTTGTGGCAACGTTTTGGAATTACGAAAAGGCGAACATTTTGAAGTATTCAAATTTTGTTTTTGAATTGTAATGAATTTTTTTAAATCAACATTCTTTTCGTGGTATTTTCCAGATTATCGTTGAAGATTGCATGATTTATTTGGATAAATTTATCAAAGAGAGTAAAAAGTTTGATTATGTGTTTGGCGACTTAACCGATATCCCAATATCTGACGCACCGTCCAATGAAATATGGAACTTTTTTCATTCAATTCTTGAGCATTCGTTCAAAATTCTAAAACCAACCGGAAAGTATTTGACCCACGGAAATGGCATCAATAGTCCACATTCATTGAGTATGTTTGAAATGCAGTTGGAGAAATTGGATCCCAAGGTGAAATTTACCAGATCAACTGCATTTGTACCGTCATTCATGGAAGATTGGGTCTTTTATCAAATCGCATTTGACAATATATGATTTGATGACATTTTTACGCGATTGGATTTGAAATATAGTTGTTTTCATAATGAAATATGTTTTTATTTTAACAAAGTTACTCTCTTCCGCCTTTAGCCATTAGTCATTGATTTTTAGTCACAAAAATGGTCGGTAAATACAAGATGCTATATGTAAGATGCTGAAATTAATTCTAAAATGCTGTTCACAAAAAAAGTTGGTTTAATTTCAGTTGTTTATTGGAAAAAAGAGTACCAAAGCCTCATTAAAACCTGACTATACTATTAAAATGATGATCTGCGACTTGAACCTGTCAAGGTAAAAACTGCACTATGTCCCTTTTGTCGGGCTGTGATGCATTGTTGATAAATGCCAAAGATGCATCAGTGACTACTCCTTCCAATATTGGATTTATAATATATACACACTCGTTGTATGTATTTACTTCTGTACTCTTGTCTACAAAAGCTACTCGACTCTTTGGCGCATAAGGTATTAACTGATTAATTTGTTGTGCTATATGTTGTAATGTTCCCATAAAAATTAGCCCAAACAATTCTCGTTTGCATTCCAATACATTATTCTTAAAATTGTCCGTTGCAGTATTCATTTTCTCAAATGCGCTGAGTATCTTTGACAAATTTTTGTCGGGAACGCCATTCAGTAGCTCAGGTGCCAAATCTCCTTTGTAGTCCAGAAGAATGCCATTCGTAGAGATACCTGCAATACGTTATTCGTATAACCACGAATATTATCATTTAACACTTCAATTTCAGTTGCGATTTCATTAAAAAGTGATTTCATGACGCTGTTCCTGTGTCCCATACTTGCACTGTAGACGTCCACATTTGTGTTGCCAAAATACAATTTTTTTATGTCAAAATATAAGTTTTCATATTAATTGAATGATACTGACTGATCATATTTCGTTAGGAATTATTCCACATTTATGATCATTTTCTATATTTAATTTTTATTTCGATTATTTCTATTCTTTTTGTCATTACAAAAACCACAATTTTGTTGAATAAATGTGAGTTTTGCTTGAGTGAAAAAATATGTCACTGTATAAATTGCACAACAAACAGACATTTTTAATTCAGACTCTCTGTACATTCATATAAAATTTATAAAGCTTTCAACATATTATAGATTTCTTGCTCCTGCATATTTGAAAATATATCACGGAAAGTACGCTTTTGTTCACAGCTGAGACGTTCATAAAAATCTTTACAGGCCAATATAAAAAGTGTACGTTGCCGTATTGCCACACACTCACTGGTCGCGTCTTTATATTTAATTGGAAGCGATGCGGATGTTGATGTCAATATATCGTGTCTCTTGTTCATTTTATCACGTATAGAATTGTTGAAAATCGCATTGTAATCGGCCAATACTTGTGGAAATATTTTGATAAGACTCAAATTAATTGACGATGATATGAAAATTACAATCAGGTACCACATAATTTTTGGCGTTGAAAATGACAAAAAATTTGGCAATGAGCACAGTAACCAATCTTGTAACAGTGGTAAATAGGCCGAATCAATAGCCGAACGGAATACCTGAAATGATAAAAAATAAAAAATAATCGAAAAAAAAACATTTAAAAAAATCAAAAATAAATTGTTTACCTGAAATACGAGTGTGGCTATAACCTCGCAGTGTGGTTGACTAACTGTCAAAAACTCTTTAATCACTTTGGTTAAAAGTTCTTTTGGGGGCACCAAATCGTGAGTCAGTTGACATAGCGCATAGCCATAAATATGTGCACCTGGCGATGTGGCCAATTTAATGCGCTGATAAAATATTTCAATTTTTTCCGTTGTTTGCATTATTACCTCTGGCTCGTCTTGCACAATTCCATTGCACCGTTCAGTGTTTTCTAGCTGCTCATTGGAACCTGTAAATAATACCCATAAATATTTGAATTAAACCAAATCACGTTGAGATGAAGTGACAGAAGGGCCAATCACATACCAATGTACATGCATGTCATCAATAATTTCAGCGCTGACAATGAAAACTGTTCATTTTCTAACTTAACCAAATCAAGGGCAAGCCGCTCAATTTTTTGGTGGTAATAATCTGTAGCTATTTTGGAAATTATCACACGTTCCAGACCCTATGTAGAAGAGACAAATGGTCAAAACCAGAACCAATGACAAATATATTGTAAGGACATACATGAATGATACATAAAAACAGTGTCAAGGACGTTGTTCGCTTAAGCACATTATTCGCTGACATAATTATAAGTCCGAGTGCTGTTTGATTGGCCATCATATCACAATCAGGAATAAACTTCGATGTCGTTTCTATGACGTAAAAGTTTAGCGTCCATACAAGTATCGCGTGCTCATTGCTGAACGATAGCGAACTAATAACAATTTTTAACGAAAAAAAAAATGAGTATATGATTGAGAATGTGATTAAATTTCAATTAACCTTTCTTCGATGAGCCCATGATGGGTTATATAATTACTAATGAACGTTCGAAGCAATAGTATCTCTTCACTTAAACTTCCTATCGTGGTGTTGCTTTTAATGCACGACTCAAAAATCAATAGTACACCTCTAAGCGCTGCAGTACGCACGAATAAATGCGAACTCTTCAGGTAATTTCCAAGAACGAGGGGATGACACAAATGATTTATATCTTGCACGGATGGTATCAGAATGGCGTACGATTTACACAAACAGTATGCGATATGCTATATACATTAATAATATTTGTTTGAACATTGTATTAATTCAAGTCCGAATGCTGATTGACTCTCTTGTGTAGAGATAAATGTCAGCTAAAAAAACGCTTCTTTTACCTGATGGGCTATTGCATTTTCTTTCGGTATTGATTCGTGCAATTTATTCATAACATTTTTAATCCAATGAAACTGTTCACGATTTTCACATAGCTCGGCAAATTTCACAATATGTGGCAAAATCTGGATGCTATTGACCTGCATTTTAATTTCATTCAAGCAAAATGAATAAAAAAAAAACCGAACAAAAGATCATCAAACAAGCAAACCTCAAGAAGTTGCGTAAGAACATCGAATGTTAATTGAATGCTGCTGTTGAAATCGATAGCCGACGCATCCAAGAAATGTTTCATATTTTTAAGCTCAATATTAATACTTCGCGAAGCTGCTGGTTGTCCCTCAATGATATGCCATATCACATTCAAATCGTATTGTTGCGAATGAAATGTCTCCGTTCCAATGATATTATTGGTGGGCACATCGCATCGTTCCAAATTTGGTAGATAAAAGACAGACGGTGGCCGCATCAATTCGTTTTGAATCCCGTGTAACTTTCGCAAACTGTTTGATATTACGAATATGTTCATATTTTGAGTTTTACAAATGAAATCAATGATTTTTTACCTTATTGAATCGGCAATGAGTCGTTGCTGCCTGGGTACATGATGAAACATGCCATTCAGTCTATCTCCAATGTTGGGATACATTTTACATGAGATTAACAACTCCAATAAGGCCGATAGGCACACATTTTTAATTTGATATTCCTCTTGAGCATCTGAAATTTATACAAGACTATTTTAGCGATCTGATTATTTTCGGATTGGCACACAATATACTTACCAACAATATTTTCATCATTGACTTTATTTATGAGTAAAAGCAACGACATGAAAAACTCCTCAAAATGCTGACGTAATGGAAATCCGAAAATGTTTATTCTGAAAGTGAAAATTCTCCATTTAGATATGTTTTATGGTGTATAGAAAAGGGTGATGTTACCTTTTCAGAAACTTCTCAACGATTTCAATTTCATTTAAGCAATCAATCGGAACCGATTGAAATGTGGTGGTTTGGTTTGCACTCTGTTGCCAATCAAATGAATTGATAATTTCTCTCGGTGTCACAGCATAGAAATAGAATGATTCACTGCGCAAAGTGGCCACTGTTAATGATAATACGGTATCTTTGAATGTGTTCAATTGATTGGCATTCTGCTGTGTCTTTTCCTCTTTCGGGTCGAAGCAATTTTCGACAAAAACACCCAAAAATATTGCTCTTGCATATGACAAATCTGCTGTGTCTGTTTTATTGAAATCAGTTTGTGTTCGTTCGTTAAGTATTGTTTTCAGTTGATTTTTCTCCAAAAATAATTGGCTGGCAAAATTTTTTCGAATAATTTCGTACAGAATGGTAAGTAGCCGATTGAAAAAATCATGACTTTCGTTGGTGGCAAAAAAATTATTCGATTCATTGAAGGTGGCCTGCGTTCTTAATATATGATTTATACAATTGCATGCAATTTCCAAAAAAGTTTCATTCACCGGTAAATGTTCGATTGAATTCAAACAAATCGAAGAAAATCGAACAAGTCGCTGGAAGCTCAACATGCGAAACATATGCTCATCCAGAAACTTATTTACAAATGACACCTCGGCGTAAATCATACATTGTTGTTGCAATTCAGCTAAACACTCTAACAACACCGAAACTGCTGTCATGACCTCTTTCAATTGAATGATTGTGTCATGATCCGTAGTCTGAGTTGCATTAAGATTTTCACTATTTTGCTCAAGTTTTGCGAAAATCACGTCCATTTTATTGCACAATGTGTTTATTGACTGTTTCAAAATCGGCGACAATTTCAAATAGTTCATGTGAGCATTATGCTGGAAACAATCATGTTTAAACTTGGACGTCATAGTTTCAAATGAACACTGAATTAATATCGGCAATAAATGTACGTCAACATCGCCATGAGATTGTTCAAATATTTTAATGAGCTTTTGTTCTAATTTAACTTCAGACAAAATTTGGAATATACGCCGATTGTTTATGTCCGATTTCATAATATCGATAGCCTGGAAGAGAAAAATGAACTTCGATTTGGATTTCGCGGACCTTGAAAAATGCGAATCGAAATGATTTTACCTTATTATGAAACCAGTCTTCATTTATCGGAATATTAACATTCATTTCATCGGATGCTGGCATTTTCTCAAGATTTTCCGCAAGAATCTCCTCGATGTGTTTTGAAACCAAAGAAAACCTACGACAAAGTTCAAAATCATTTTTATCGTTTTCAATGAAATTTTATAATTTGTGTGACTTACATGTCATGATGTTGGTACATCGCCTTGAATTTGTTGAGCGAGGCAATAAGTTCGGTTTGAGAGTTTGTAGTATCATTGAGATGGACAAGTTTATTTCTCAAAATGGAAAACGAACGACGTGCGACTGGTGAACCCTCTTCGAAAATGACTGTTGTCTCTAAGAGATGGTTTGTGCTCAGTAATGTGAATTTTTCGTCACACACTTCGATTGCATCCAGAAAAAGGAAGAGAATATTCTGTAAAAAACAGCAAACAAATATATTATACAGATATTCGATGAAGAGAAAGTTGGTGTCATTCAAGCGTACCTTTTGTTGAATATTCTCTTGTAGCATACAGCTGAGTTTGCTCAATATCAAATCAATGAAATCGCCGCTTTTGACTGTGTTTACGATGAATTTTGAATTGATAAACAAAATTTCTATAAAATAATTCTGCAGAAGAAAATCGATAACGACATGGTCCAGCTGAAACATATAAATACTTTATTATGATTGCGTATCTTCAGACTATACCGAATATCAAAATATTCATTTTGACAGAGTTTTTCTTTAAATGACGAAAAACCACCAACAAAATATACTTACAGTTTTCGAAGTAAGCGTTTGAATTAAGATCGATGTAACACATTGATCATATAATGTTCTTGCTCTTTCGTGATTTTCTTGGGCCTTTTTCATTATTGCGTCAACGAAAACGGACGTTTCATACAAATCAAAAATAAAGGCAAATAGTCTGTTGGCAAAATTCATTTTGATTGTACACCAATTGGTTCGCTGTGAAATATTCGATGAATTGGCTATTGATGGTAGATTCTTCATAAAATTCAATACAATTTCCAAAAATTTCGAATCAACACCGAAGTAACTTTTAAAACTCTGCGCCGTTTCATTGTAGTTACGTAAAATAATTGTGATCGCATTCAAATAGCATTCCAGTATTTGTAAGAATTCTATGATTTTACATAGATTGCCTTCAAACAGTAAATTATATTCGAAACCGGTGTAACTGATACTGGATATCAAGTCATTTCGAATACTTTCGGCCAAAATATTCACAGCAGTTGCATCCAATTTATTGGCCACACAGGCGAGAACGGTACTTTCATCGGTCACCTCCGAAATACACTCCAAAACTATCGATTTTACTGCCACGTCATCCAATATCTGTATAAATATCAAAATTATTGAGAAACATTAATTCGAATACGGTTTTTGCATAATTTTAAAAAGATTTTTCACTTACCGAATCACTTCGTCTTTGAAGCCGTGACACAAGTCTCAAGCAATTTGCCTTTTCTTGGATCAAATACGGTCGAATGTGGGTGCACATTTTTCGCAGTAAATGATAGTCATCCAGTGTTGTTACAAGAACCTTTTGATCACTTAATGTGTGTAATAAACATTCAGCCAGCTCTGCATGGATTTCCTTTGAACCGCTCGTTTCCTTCATCAAAATCATGCAAATCATTTTTTTCACCTGCAACATCAAAAGATATGAATGAATTTCTTTTCAAAAAAGAGAGATGAAGATTTTTTTTTTTTTTAATCGAAGTAGTTAACCTTGATGGAATCGATGAATTTCAACAGCATACTAAATACGACCTCTTTTTGCGTATTCTTTTCCTTTGTATTCTGTTGACTATCCTCAACAGGTTCGTTATCGATGCGCCGTGGAAAATAAATTTCATACGATAATTGATATAGAGCTTCAACCGAACCATTTTTTGTGATGCTATTTGCCAGCAAATTATCGGTGATATTGATAATCTTCGGTATTGTCATTTGTGGTTTTTCTTTTTGTTTTGCCAAATAAAAGAGAATCTTGATAATTTTTGGTGTTAAAATGTGGCTATTTCTGTAAATAGAAAAAGATAACAAAAACATTTCAAATTTCGATCAATTGTTTTTTGCATTCCATCTAACTACCTAATGATTCCCGTTTCAATCGATTCAATTAACTTGAGAAGAAATTCCATGAAAATATTGTTGGCATCAAGTAGACAATAGTTTACTTTTAACTGTAACACTTGGCACAACATCTCTAAAACATATGATTGCATTTCCGAATCGGATTTAGTAAATAGCTGCAAAATTAAATTCAAAATCAATAAGATTGATCAAAATGTGTGATAATAATTATACCTTTAAGCATTGTATCACAATTGGTTCAAATATTTTGATATTTCGATGATCTGAATTGGTTTTTTGTTTTTCGGGTGTTGACGTGGATGCCAAAAAATTGATTAATTTTGATCCAGCATGACTGGGTGTTGTATTAACACTGGTTTTCTGTGGCACTGGTGTTTGGCATCGAATTTCATCCAAATAATCGAACATTTTATGCGGTGCCATCGTTTGTATGCGCTCATAATCGAAGAGATTTTCATCGATTTTCCAATTTGGATAGGTCATCAAAAACATATTCCGAATGAGATGCTTGATGCATACCACCGACATTTTTGGCTCGTAAATGAGTGTTGTTTTGATATAAATTAAAATCTCATCGAAAAATGATGTCGATTCGGTGTCGGTGAATGGTTCCATTATTTCAATTAATAATGCCATTGTACGAAGGCACACTCGTAGCAAGGAGAATAGTTTCAAATCGATTTCCTCGTTTATTGTGATCTGATTGCGGCGAATGAAATAGAAACGTTATTTAAACTCAAAGGAGAAAACATTTGAATTGAAAGTTACCTTGTAATTTTCGTAAATAATTCGAAGTATTTTGTAAATTTTCAAGTAAAAATAATCATTTCCAAAATATCCATAGCTATTAAGCAATTGAACTTCTTTGCTATTCACAAAAAGATCGGCTTTTTGGCCTTTTGGAATGAAAACCGGACGCTTGTTAATCAATACATTATGATAAATGCTCAACAGCTTCATGACATGTCCCAGCAGAGATGATGTGATCGCTTTTCTCTGACCATTGGCATCGGGTAGTTTTCTTAGATTCATTGCGGCCAGTAAATTGCTTGATATGGTGAGCAAGTCGCATTGACTCGACAAATCAATTCCGGTTGGGTAATTTGAAATCAAAAGCTCAACACATATGTCTAACACATTATATTCCGACCAAATTTCTACGAATTGAATTGGACTGAATGAATTGATTGTGTTAAGCAAACACTTTGTGGCACCTAACTGAAATGTTCAACAAAAAAAATTGGTCAATCGTTTGTAATATTGCAGCAATCAATCTTAAATCTTACCAATTGTTCGGTCGATTTTAAATCAAATAGCTTATTGGTCAAATCGTGCAAATGTTTTCCCAAAACTCGTTTCAACTGTCGATGGCCAACATCGCCTAATCCTGACTGATATCCAGTTAATGTTCCCGTTGAATTGACCATTGAAAATGGCACCTCATTTGATAGTGTTTCAGTTACAAATTCAATGGTCAATGTATCACTCGCATGCTTATGGGCGACATTTGTTTTTCGCATTGCTTGTGATAGATTGAACTCAAAAATTGCGGTGGCCGCCTCATTTCGAATTCGGGCATCGGTGTCTTTCAACATCGCATACATGTGTGACACAAAGAGATTCTGTGAACCGAAACGATTTTAGTATTTTGAAAGGGAGCGAATATTACTTCATATGTTCCTACCTTGTACTCTCGACCTTTATCCAAACCGAAAATCTCTTCAATCGCATCATAGTTGATGGTTGCAATAAATCGACAATACTTGTTCTGAATGACCCAATATTTGTTTTCGAAGACAAGCGGCAGTTTATCGAGTATTTCTTCCAACAATGATATCGATGTGGAAATATGACAATATTCGATTGGAAAATCTTCGGTACAGGTAACAATTGGTTGCATACAAGCGTCACCTCGATAAAACCAAGACGATCGATGATCCAATAAAATGGAAAAAAATTTCTCCAACGAAACCAGCGATTGTTTGACAACGGTATGGATTTCATCAGACAGACCCTGTGAATAATATTAATTATTGGTAAAATTCCTCAGCCAAATAAAAAGGTTTTGCATTTGATCCATACTTACTTTTATCAAAATATTAAACAGTACATTAAAATTGAGAAATCGATATGTGGACGCGATTTCAAGATGTTCAAAAAAATTTGCAATCGATTCACATTCGTTTAGTACACTGAATAGAAAATTTCCGGCTACCAATTGAACATTTGCTCGTAAAATCGGATCACTGTGATTCCAAAATAGTAAAATATCTTCAACAAATTGTAATGATCCATCGTCGGTTATTGATTGAATGAGTGCTTGACTGTTGATTGTTGATTTTTCGTTTGTATTTTGGCTGGTTTCGGTCGTAATATCAAGATTTTTGTACGACGGTTTTGAGTCCAAAATGTCTGATTTCGATAGCAAATCCGATAAATCACCGATTAGTTTTTTTTGCGTTCGTCGATTATTGTCGGCGCCAATATTATCCGAATTAAGTCGTGACAATAGGACATTATCGGCACTCTTGCTAAGCGGAAAGAAAAAGTCAAAGTATGTATTTGGTACTTTGCTATTTTCACCAAAATGATCGTCCTTTATATTTAATTGATCGGCCTGATCGTTATTTGGTTTCGTTTTTAATGGTGAATTTTTTTCGGATTTCGAACATATCGATTCTTCACTATCCGACTCATGCTCAAATTCTAAATTTTCGGGCCCGTTGTATTGAAGTGAAAGTAACAGTGTTCGTGGACATAACGCGACGCAATGTCCAATTACAGCCAATGAGAGATTCTTTATTGAGACACGTACATCACAATCGTCGATCAATTTGTATGGTACACCGACCAATAAAAATTTCGACGCAATCAATCGTACGGTATAGTAAATTAACGGTTGATTTGAAATACTACCGATGAGCAATTCACGATCAATGGTTTCAAAATGAACGGTTGACGCAGCATCAATTGTTTGATCCATATCATCGGATTTTTCTCGATTCATTTCATCTGCTTCCAATCGAATCGTTGCAATCTCTTGTTCGTTTAAGATTTCAATTTCCGGAATTGAATCATCGGTTCTATTAAGCATATCAAATGCAGATGAATTTATCGATAACATACTGCCATCGGATGTTTCCGAAATATTTACGTCCGTCTGATTTAGATCGTCTGCCAAATTTTCAATCGTACTTGATTGTGTATCGGATTGTTGACCCAATGAACCAACGCGAAAAAATTTCGTAACACTTTCTGAAATGATAAAGAATAATTTCGTTAATTTTCAGTTCAATTCAACGAGATGAAAGCGATACAAACTTACCCGTATTCGGATGAATCAATGTATTCAAAAATGATCCGATCGAATCGGTGGACTTTTGACTCTTCAATGGATTTGATGTGGGTGTTTTTTTGATAGCCGGTGAATTTCGTCCGGATAATTGAACCAATGATTCATTGCTTTGGCACAATTCAAAATCATTCAATCGCAATGAATCCAATTCAATGTCACTGCCAGTGAGTAGTCCCTTATCGTCGACAGACGCATTATGAGCTGTTACATAATCTAACACATTTGATATATCCGACTCACTGTTGTCCAGCTCTTTTGTCATCGTACTCGAATGCACATGACTGCTTAATTTTTTCATTTTCGCCACGTCGCTTGGCGACGATATTAGTTGATTTTTTGACGATGTGTCAATTGATGGTGTCGATAATTTACGGTGAAAAATTTGATTTTTCAACGAACGCTTTTTACATAATACTTCCATATGAATTAATTTATCATTTATCAATAGGTTTGATAGCTGCGGTTTGGAATGATTTAAAATAACACTAAGACATTCTAATGATGCATTTATAATGGTGTGATTGCTGTCACTCAATAGATGCAAACATAGTTCATAAATTTCGATGATTTTTTGAATGACATATAGCTCCAGTGAAATGGTTGTCAGTAATTTCGGTAGCAAAATCCGAAGTAAACCAAGCGCACCGACAATTGTATTCAATGTAAAATCTTTCACCAGGTTTTCTGTGTGAGACAAAAAGAGAGAAAGAGAGAGAGAGATGAGTAATAACAGCAGCATTATCGAATCAAACTCATTTACCGAGACATAATGTAAGTGCATGTTTAGCCATAACATCCGGTCGTCGTGCATGTTCAATTAATGTCATAACATTTGACGCTGAACACCGTCGTTTCACTGGACACTCTGAACTGATGGCATCTTTCAAGAAAAACTGAACGCATTTCTTATTAGATGTGTGAGTTCAGATAAAACATCAACAACACTCACCTCAATCAAATTGGAAACTTCATTTTCGGTGAGACTGATTTGAAAAAATGTGCAAAATTTATCGAAAAACTGTGAAAGTGTTTCAATCAGCTGTTGTTCCTTTCGTTGTGAAATAGATAAAATGCATGGCAATAGATTCAGTGCATACGGTTTAACCTTGCGTTGTTTTATCATGTGGGCGTAATGTCCAAAATGATTTAATGCGATGCGTAGAGAACGATCATTACCATTACGTTTTATCTCTTGAAACAGATCATATTGAATGCGAACGACATTTGTTGGTGTTGAAAATCGAATCACACGATTTAAATTTTCTTCGGCACTGCAATGAAAAATATACATTCGTTTACATGTCGAATGCAAATGATTATTATCTCAATAGTAATCTACCTCATGCGAACAACTGAGTCGACATCCTCGCAAAACATTAACAAAATTGATACGGCATTGCTGACATAAACGAGATAATTTACATTTCCGCGTAATGCTGGCGATTGTATAGAGTCGGAAATTTGCGTGAATAATATCAATTTCTCTTTTTGACTGTGCGTGTGTATGTGTCATGAAAAGAACAGAATAAAAAAAATTCTTTAAATCATTATAATAAATCATTTCTGGGTCTAACCAAACGCTGACTAATTTGAAATAATCAGTAAATCATTGAAATGGCAACAATTTATGTTGATTTTTTTATTCCTTTTCTAAAAAGTGAATTCGCAAGTGTTTTGAATACAATGAATGATTCATATGTGCAATTCTATTGTACCTGCATTCCGTTGTTTTAAGCGAATCAATCGCTTTCTGAAATGTTGTCACTGCCATTAAACGTTCCATAACTTGTTCCACGCCACAACTACACTATGCTCTCAATCAAATTTTTTTGCTACTAATTGATTAAATATTTTATATTCGTCGTTCATTTGATGTGTTTTTCTTTCTAATTATGTAGATTTCTTCATTGCAAACAGAAAACTGTGGAATTGTTTTTATTGTCATTGGCTGATTGTCTTGCCCGAAACGTCAAAACACGCATACACACACTCGTACAGCCAGTGAAACAGACGGAGAAGTGTTGACGTTTCGTCACAACACTCACACATAGGTGCCACGTAAATGACGTATATGTATGTGGTATATGGTTCAATTTGAAATTGCGCCGCACATTAAAGTTATATGATTTGAATGATGATGATTGTCAAACGGTTACTAACCGTCAGTTTTTTATGCCGAAAATAAAATATTCCACGCATTAAATAAAAGAAAAATCAATTCGTGGAGAAATCAATAATAAGAATACTTGTTGTTTTTTTATCAATACCAATTTTATTGAATATAATTTTATATTTACACGTTATTTTAGCCTAGAGAACAGTTCCACCTTGATTTTTTTTATTTAATTGTTTCGAAAAAAATAAAATTCATATCGATTGATAAATCGATAAATACATTTTGCAAAACTCTTTATGTGTGTGAGTCAAATTCCCAAGTCAATTTAAATGTTCAATGAAAACAATAACCGTAAAAATTCATGAACATATTATATAAAGTCAAATTTTGTTCGATTTCATTCTCTCATTCTCTCTATCTCAAAAACTACACGCACAATTGAAAATCTAACTAAAAATCATCAGTACACAACATTCTACTAAATTTTGTTTTAGATTCCAATGCACCGGCCATACTTTTTTGCATCATTTGAAAAACAACAGAAAGATGCTTAATAATAAGGAAAATGTGTCTTTGCCAAAAAAAAATCGAATGCGATGCACCAATTGCTGGATTTTCAATGCAAAATCAAAAAACACCATTTATGAAAACACCAATCACACTACCGGTGAATGTTGTGCTTGAATTTATTTTTTTTACGTTTTTATTTGTAATATATTAATACGTTTGGAACATTCTAAAATACTCTACATTTTTCTCATACAATTGATAATGGTTCTTTTTCTCCATTCCACTCAACCCTCTTCCTCCCTTTCTTTCCGCCCTTGTCGTCTTAGCCAAAACGCATGATACACTCGCAAAAAACATAAACTATGCAAAAAAAATTATATGTACCCAATAATTGACTAATCTTAATAATCCAAATCTTATTAAATCTAAGATCTTTTGCAAATGTTCCACATTGTTTGTCTCTAAAAAAATGTATTTTTTTCTATTATTAATTTTTTTTTAATATGTCGTTCAATTTATGTTCCTTCGTTTCGTATTTTAAACCTTTTTTGATGAAAATGGATAAAAATTTGAAAAAATAGAGAAAAAAGGTCACATTTCCTAAACGAAATAGTTTAATTTATCAATTTAGTATATAATTGATAAAGAATCATGTCGATATACCGAACACCATTGTATTACGGTAATCACCATCGGCACTCATAAATAGGTTTAAATGGTAGCAAAAAAAAAGAAAGAAAAAGAAAAATGGAAAATAAAATTCAATTCTCTAGATTTAAATGGTAACCTTCGATCTGTTTATAAGAAGAAAAAAAACTCTTTTATCGAACATTATTTTGTTATTAATATGATAATATGTGAAGCGATGATTGTTTTTTTTCCTCTAATTTTTATTTGTTGAATTTGCTGATTATAATTTTATGCAATACAAGATTCAGCTATTGGCATACGCTCTCCATATCTCCCGCTCTCGTTTGAATGCAATTTTTATGTGTTTTTTTCTTCAATTCTTGTCATATGAGTATGTATAAGTTAAAACCTCGACCCAGAATTGCGAATTGTCACATATTTTTCGGAGTTTCCATTTATATTTACACGTGTTATTATTTGGTAGATCTCACTTAAGAAACAAACAAGAAAAATTTCTTTTTTTTATTGAATTACATTCCGTTTTGTTTTTTGTTCGGTAAAATAAATTGTTTGTCAATTTTAAATATTTTTTTCCTAACAGCAATAACTTAAAAAATATACCTATATGTACCATTTCCATATGTTTTACCTTTTTTTTATTTAAATTATTTAAAGCCTTTGTTTCAATTTATCCAAAGCAAAAAAAATATGATTTAAAGAGAGAAACAAAAAATTAGAAACAAATTACATAATAAGACAATGACGAAAATTTAAAATTTTTCTCTCAAATTTCTTTTTTTGTCTGTTGGCAAAACAGATACGAAAAAAATAAACAACAACAAGAATTTCAATGTTGAAATTAAATGAAGAAACAATCAAGGCTGTGTATGTAGATGTGTTTGTATATCAAATCAAAGAAAAAGATGAAGTCTAAATAAAAACTGTAAATTATTAATATAATTAATTAAATCAGATGTTGTGTGTGTATATCGTGTGTTTTTTTATGTTTAACCACGTTTCAGCCTCAACACGATCATTGTAACTGCCAAGAATATAGCGATCCACGTTAATGTTGATATAAAACCTAAATAAACTTCCTGCTCCATAATGCTCCAACCGCGTGTCAGCATGCATCGTAATGCTGTCGTTGCTTGAGTTAATGGCAAACAATAGGAAATATATCTGCAATGAAAATGAAGAATTAATTTATATATCATTTCGATCAAACTAACTCAAATATAGAAAACTCACTTTAGAATAAATGGCATTCCTTCGATGGGCCAAATAACACCGGATAACAGAAGTGTTGGATAAAATGAGCCGAGGGCAAGTTGTATGGCATTTCGTTCCAGTTCACAAATGGCTGATATAACAAAGCCGAAGCACATACCGCACATGCCTTGTAACAATGTCAGTATGATAACGCCAAATATATCGCCATTGCATGTGATTTCAAATACAAGAATCATGAAAATTAGAACTAGCGCCGTCTGACCGCACATCACCACAAATTGTGTGACCACATGCGAAAAGAGAATTTCAAATGGTGTTACACCAGCCACCCATGATCGATCGAGAAGACCCTGCACAAAAGGCAACAATTATTATTCATTCGCCGAAATTTTTTTAATAAAATTTAATTTTATACCTCTGTTCGTTCGATGATCAATGCCGACGATGTGAGAGCAACAGCCAAGAAGAAAACGATCCTATTCAAATGATAAATGTAACGATGTAAAAATTGTGCCATGGTATGATTCGATCTTAACTTACGTTAGAATTACACCGGGCGCAACAAAATCGGTAAATGATGGTGTGCTTGTTCCGTAAATTGGCTCCTTGAATTGAATTGGAATGTCACCCAATTTCGGATTATGGTCACAATCACGGAGCAATCCTTGTGCAAAGTCTTTGTACGTCAATTGCAGATCACGATTTAATAAAATTCCAATTTGCTGATTTGACATATCCAACCATACACGAATTTCCGATTGATCCAATGTTTCGTCGTCTGCATCTCGTCCTATATACACAAAATAAATCATCCAGTCAAAGAATTCGCAATTTCCTCGGAAGAGAGTAGTGACTTACCAAGAGCCATTCGAGCGACCAATGCATCGGTGAAATTTTCCGTGAAATAAATAGCACCCCATGCATGACCAACTCGTACCGCTTCGACAGCTGATTTCGGATCCGGATAATATTCTTTGATTATTGTTGAATTTAAATGACTCAGGTAACGACATGATAAATTCTCGAAATTACATCCCTTTTGGGTTGGGCAGTGCTGTATCATTACAGAGAGATAAAACAATTTTATTTTTAATTGTCCAACAAAAAGTCACTTTTCATTTTTGCTTACGATTGTATCGTTCATTTCCATGTTTGCTATGGCTAATCTTAATCCAGTTGGATCACGGCCAATGGCCAAACAGAAGAGAATAACTTGCATGACTGGTAACGCAAAAATGAATAGCATCACACCAACATTTCGCCACATTCGCAAAAAATTCTTTTGTAATAAGGCACGAATTTTTCCTCTGGATGTCAACTGTTAGAGAAGATTTCGATTTAGATAAAAAATTTAATGAAATAAAAGAAGAAAAAAAAAAAATCTTACATTGCAACATTCAGACATATCAGCTGTTGACAGATCATCATAATCGATGCCGCCATTTCGATAAACAGGTGCTCCACCGTTCAGCTGAAAATTTGTTAAAAATCGTTAGCCCCTTTGGAATTTGACATTAATCTATTATGCACGTATTTCGTTCAATTTTCTCTTTCAACTTAGCTCTTTACCTGATTATTACTATTGTTACTATGTGCTATAATTTGAATGTTGTTGTTATTTCGTTCCTAACGAATCGATGCGCGAAAAAAAGAAGAGTTTTATTAATGAATGCCCAAAAATGAATGTGCGACTAGACAAACATGTAGGTTTATTGATGCGCACCATATTTCCTATATGGACATGGTGCACTTTAATAAAAGTCTTTCAAGTCACATATTCATTTTGCATGCCAATTCGAACCAACTGGCGACCATTTGAAGCGCAAATCGATAAAAATGGGAAAATTTTTTCAAAATTTCCGATTTTCAATGTTTTATTTTATACCTGACTTGGAGGCGCACTGTGTGAAGTTTTGCTTGGTGACACTTGTGCCAAAGCTAGATCAGAACCCTGTCATTATGATCATTAATAAATGCATCATTATCATATTGAAATAAGATAAAATTAATAAAACGTATTCTAACGTTTTATGTGCGACAAATCGTTTCGTGTATGGGTATTTTGATTTTTCTTGACAGTAAATATACAAAGAAGTTAGACAAGAGGAATGTGATCAAATGGCGTTTACGTTAAACACACTGAGAGGTGGCACAATACATATAATCACAGATAATTTTTTTGTTTTTTTTTATGAATATTTAGCACGATATTAGTATTAGAGAGCATTATTAAACACATTATGCATGCGGAAATAGTATGAAAGTCTAAGAGCGAATGGAGAGACACAATAACAATAATTATAACAATCACAATAACAACAACAACAAACAATTATAATTCAAAAACAATAACAGAATATATATATTTACTAACTATTATTCATATCGTCAATTGAATGCATTTTTCATTGTGTGACAATAGATAATAGTATGGTGAAGAAAAGAGAGCGAGTGTTAAGTTATTATAACAAGTTAAAAAATGTTTGCTTTAAGGTGTTTTAAAAGAGAAATTGATGTTACATTTTGTCATCTGAGCAACGAGCAATGCGCAAATGAAAAATATTTATATGTAAACTTCGGGTGACAGTCAATTTCATGCATATTTTTAATTGCAATGCCTTGGTAATAATTTCGTATTTGGATTCTTTTCTTCTTTCAATCTTTTCATATGGCGGGCACAGAGAGAGTGAGAGAAAAACAAAGTAGCTTGCAACCAATGAACTTATTTCCAATGCATTGTACAAATGTGATAACATGAACAAAAAGAGATGATAAAACATACAACACACACATGTGATAAAGAAATAAAATCCAAAATGACACTTACCCCCATTGCAGAACCATTGTGATCATTGATAAGTACTTCTTTGCTTTGATGGAAATTCAAACCTACGACACCACTATCTTGACTGATATAAACGGGTGCATCTTTTTTATTGCCAAATGCAAGTGCGGATAGTGATAAATTGCTAATGTTCAATTCGTTAACGGCATTGGTGGTTCCTTGTTTCCGTGACAATTGTAGAAAAACATCTTCCAAATTTTTGCAACGGTAGGTGGTTAACAATGCAGTGGGTGATTCTTCGGCGAGCAAACGTCCTGAACGCATTAAACCGATCTATACCGTACATGGATACAAACGAATAATTATCTATTGAAAAAAAAATTGAATTGCTTGTTCACATACCGTGTGTGCTTGTCTTGCTTCTTCAATGTAATGTGTTGTGATAATGACCGTTTTTTGGCCAGCTTTGGTTATATGTACAAGATGATTCCAAATACTTTGTCGTAACAATGGATCGACACCGACGGTCGGTTCATCTAAAATCAATAGTTCTGGATCGTGCATAAGCGCAACGGCAAATGAAACACGTCTCTGTTGGCCACCGCTCAAATTTTTGACCAAACGATTTTGTGACGGCAAATCTAAGAATTCCAACAAGAATCGCAAACGTTCGCAAATCTCTTCGGTTTTCATTCCAAAAATCCAACCGAAATACATCATTGTCTCTTTGATCGTGAATTCACCATACAATGCAATTTCTTGTGGCATGTATCCAACACGTTTGCCGGGAACACCAGAACCTGTGTGCATGCGAGAGAGAGAGAGAGAGAGAGAGAGAGAGAGAGAGAAAAACCCGAAGCGGAAATTTAGTACATGCATTTTATTTTTAGGTTTTTCATTTATTTGCGTGTTTTGGCTTACCTTTCGTGCCTGGTTTGCCACCCAATACATAAATTTCGCCAGAGTTTAATTTGCGTCGTCCCACAATGCATGATAATAATGTTGTTTTCCCACAACCTGAGGCACCCAAAAGACCATATCTTCATTTGAAACAGAAACAAAAGAAAAAAAATATGTATTCACGATAAATATCTTCAGAAATGTATAAAATCGCCTTCAATCGATAATTAACATACGCAAAATTATCAAATATCACAAAACGTGTAACGCAGCCAGCAAATTGTTGCGCACTAATGCGTGATATCATTTAATTAAGTTTTAAAATGAAAATTGATCGACACGGACACATGTTGCCGCATACTTACTATGTGTAAAGTAGCAATTTATCATTTTCAATACAGAAACTATTTTGTAAATACAACGCATATCTTGACCGACCAAAAAACACAAAACAATTGACAGTTACCGTAACATGGTAACAAGAATGAAATAAACATTTTTTTTTTCTTCATTTTTTCAAATACATAAAATGTGTACATATGTACAAAATTATGACAGAAAAACTAAACAGCAAACATACAGAGTGATGATTTAGTTTTTCTTTGCTGTTCGATGACAAAGAAGCATTGACCCACATATAAGCAAGTTTTATTATATATTTCGTACGCCTTTGCCTTGAATATGTTTCATGAAATAAGTTATCACAGCGCGAGAGAGTGAACACAAATAAAAAATGCTACAAATGGAGTCTATGGCACGTGCACACACATGTGGATAAGGGAAGGGAGACAGCGAATTTAACACACACACAGAGATATACTTACAAAAAAAAAAAAAAAAACAAAAATAGGAAACGCAACACTCACGCACAAACCAAAATATTTCGCATTATATGACCGATCATACTTTGTGTGACATAATACATACAAATTAAAAATGACTTAAATTGATGATAAAAAAATGAACATTTAATTGTGTATCATTGTCTATTTCAAGCTTGAATAACAACAAGAACCAACCACAGTACGAATCAATGGAGTCAATGATTTTTTTTTTAATAAAAAAAGAGTCGACAATTATTGAGGAAAAAATGTCATCCCATTTGAAAGATGTTTGGAATATTTATTTCGCGTTTCTTTTTTTTTGTTCGAGGTGCGAGGGCCATTTCGAATGACAGATAAGCGCTTTATCTTCGTATTTTTTCTTCCACTCATTCAAATGAGCTTTCAAATGAATAAGATCATGAATCTGCTAATTGTTATGTATGAAAATTGAATCGGGTGTGAACTCTTGTTTACTCATTACAATTCTCATTCAGTTTATTTCATTCTGATGAAGTGAAAAGGTCAACGAAATTGAACCTCCGCATATCTTTTATATTCTTCAATCTCGGATATTTTCTAATCATTGTTCTCATTAAAAAAGTACAACTTCCATCTATCGTTTGATTGTTATGATGATGATGACAAATGTGTATCTAAGAAATAAGCAGCGTAATTATTTCATCAGAAATTCACGTCATTAAATCAGTCAATTGCGAGAAAGAATATATGCGTCTTTAAAGTCATGAAATCGGGTTTTTCCACCATAGTAACAAAAATCCATGTGTTTGTTTGACCATCTGACCATATGAATGCTTTCAACTGTGAACTCAACCGCAGATCTAATTTAATGTTTGCTTATCAACAGAGAGAATCATTTGTTAAGAGTCATTCATTGAAGCACAAGGAAAAAAAAAACGAAGATATTTCCTATTTCGATGGAATTTTTTTCATGTATTTTATGGGAAATGGCAAAGGTCTTTTCATATATATACGTAGTGAGACGTTTTTTTTTATACGAAGAACGAACGTTTTTTTTTTCGTGACTTCACACGTGTATGTTTTAACGAAATCGTTCAATGTAGCTTTTCTCCTTTATCAATGGTACATTCACTGATCCACCAGCAGATAAGCAGCAAATTTCTTCTTCATTGTTTGCACATGTTTAAGGGAACGATGATGCGCACGACATGCGGAAGTGTTTTTTTCTTTTTCTTCACGTCTAACATTGATGCATAGTTTTGTGGCTTCGTGCTCACTATACATAAGCTGTAATATATGATTGATCACAGATTATGCGGCTTTTACTTTATTCGAATCAAACGGAATTTTTTTGGATAAAATACCACAATTTCATTCAAATTGAAATTTATGTTTGTTTACTTAAATTGAAAAGTAGACTGCGATCAGTTTCAAACCAATGAAAGCTGATCCACGTGTTGTTTTTTTTGTTTCGATAAGGTGTGGCGTCAATCAATTGTCTATGTTTGTTGCAAAAAAAAACTTAACTACAAAAATGCAAACTTACATTGTTCCTTTTGGTACAGTCATATTTAAATTAATCAGGACTTGATTTGGTTTTGATTTGCTGCCATATTGTTTGAAGGCGTGTCGCACAGACACCGCATTCTGTTGTCGATTCCATGTTCCACCGTCGTCGATGATCGATATATTTGTATCACTACCCCTGTAAATAAAAATAAAACCAGAAAAACATTAGTTCATTCCATAAAAAGATTTGAATAGATTCATTAATACAATCAAACATGAATTAATCTTAAAATAGCCTCGGAGTAAAAGAGCAAAAAAAATACATGAAAAGATAACCACAAAAAAGAGATTCCAAAAATTAATTTTTTTTTTTGTTTTTGAGCATAAAAAAAGTGTGCGTCACCAAAACAATGACAATTTTCATGACTCAATGACGTCTAAATGCCAGCTATCGTATCTTTTTCTTTCTACTCAATTAATACAATTGAACATAGGATGAAAATTAGCAACATTCATGCTTTTCCTTCCTTCTTTGGTAGACCAACGATTTTATAAATGATAAAGCCCACAGTTTCCGGTACATTTGACATGTGGTTGTGTGTATGTGAGAGAGCGCGAACGCGCGTTCACGCTCTTGTACGAGAATTAAGAAAAATATACGGGAAAAATGTATGTAATAATAATAATCGTCATAGAAGGCAAAATATAAAAAGTCGACAAGTAACTTAGCCAATTGTCATAATGAAAGGTAATATAATGTGATGGTCAACTGGCTTTGACGTCAGAAACATTAGAAAAACAAAAACATTTTAATGAAAATATTGCATATTGTAAAATTTCTCGTTCGAACAAGAAGAGAAAACGGCCTAGTCATTTGCGACCCCCCAATATATTTTCAATGTGCCAAAAAACCACAAATTCTACAGTAAATTCTGTTCTAAGATTGATTTTGGCCATTGGATAATATAACTGCGGGCACAATTTGATGAATGGAAACCGATGGAAAATATCGTTTCAATTGTTTTGGATACAAAATAAACGAGAATGAACTAAAGTTCAAAAATTGTTTAGCTCATTATCGATATGGGTGTGTGCGTACGTGCTCATTGACAAAGGCTAGGGTTCAAGTAGAATGTCTATTGGACGCGAATTGCTGATTCAAAAGACTTCAATGATCAACAAACACTTGAACGAAAAACCGACAATCGACAATTTAATTTACACCAACAACAACGTGCATACTTCAAATCCAAGAACGAAATGAGCAATTGTATAAGGGCCGATGCGAGACAAAATGCTTTAAAATGCCACATAAAATTTAATGAATCAATACAAGCAATTTTGTAAAAATGTAATATTTATTTACGGCCAATTATAATAAATACAAGCAACATTGCACACACGTAGTGTTGTTTTATGTCTTCTTCAATGATCTGGAATTCTTTGTTGATGACTGTGAGCGATTTGCATTTTTTTTTTTTTGGTTTCCATATTTCTTCTTCGTGTTGGCGATTTTTGATACCGTAAAAAAAGTGTCGATAAAACAATAACCTTAACAATACCAATTACTGAGAAGAAGCGGAATAATAAAAAAAGAGTATGAAATAAAGCCATTTGTAGGTAGACGACATCGAAATTCCTTTCTTTGATTCAAAAGCTGAACTATTGGGCAGACAACAACAAATGATTCATGCAATGTGTCCATTGCACCTCATTTTTGTTGTTTTGTTTCGAAGAGTGGCACAAAAATCTGAACAAATTGCAATATTTTTTACACACTGATCTTGGCATGTTGAATAACCTCCACCTTTTGCATGAAATTGTAATTTATTATAACTCAAGTACGGTTTTAATCGGTTTTTCTTAGTAAAATATGCATTGAAAATTGGTGACGACGAATTGACGAGAGAAAAAAAAACAACATATAATCCGATTTTTCAAATCGATATTTACATTGGATCGTTTCGGTTTTTCTTTTGCCAGAACATTTATCTATTCCATACCAAAGCAAACGGTTCAACATTTAAATGGACAATAATTTTATAGCAATAAACGACTTGTTGAGACAATTTCCTAAAAAAAAAATTATGAAACAAACAAAAAAAAATCTGAAAATTTGCCCGGAATCTACTACTGTCTCATGGAAATGAATGTTGAAATGTTGCAAAAATGAATGTAGAATGTTGTTTGTTATATTTTGTTTTCCACACAACGAAAGGGGAAAAAAACTGGTTGGAAATTCCTGAATAAGCATATTTAATGAATCATTGTATAAGTTCCGCAAATGCGAAACAAAAAATATGAATTAAATGACGTTACATGATTCATTTCATTCAATTGAGCAGAGTCCAAAACTGTCTGGCAAATATTGGTGTAAATGAGTAAAATTACACATACACACACACAGCCGCCACAACACTGTGGACAATTAAAATCTGCGTCAGCATCAACCTTTTGAAGACCTTTCATTTGATTCCCATTTAAATGGAAAATCAATCCAAATCGTGTTTCCTTGTTCTGGCCACGTTTTGTACGTAGAACGATGTGTCTTAGTTCAAGTGAATTTCACTAATGATCAATCGATTACACAGCCAAGACGAATTGATTTAACATTATCATGACTTTTGGAAATTTGATGAGATTAATGTTGATGATGAAATAGGCAATTGAATGAAGAGTACACACTTCTTTTTTCTCTCGCACTGTATTTCTCAGTTTTTGTTTTTCAGATTGTTCTCGTTTAGGAGTGTATGTGCGGTTGCAATGTTGCAATAAACGTTAGTAAACATTGTCTGCCTACTAATTTCGGGTTAATTTAACAGCAAATACACGAATGTTGTTTCTATGATATACATGAAAGGCGGTGTGTCGAGGTTTCGTTTTTTTTTCTCTTCAAATCTTGACTGGGCTATAGACACAATCCAAACGTACTATTCGCATGCATTTTTTGTAAGACAGTGTGCGTGTGCGGTGTGTATGTATTTGTGAATTTTCAGTAGCATGCAATGTTCGCTAATTGATTTTATAATTACACTTGAGCTGCCTTTTTTCCACACAGCATACACCAGCATTTGTTTCCTTTTCACAAGTGGTCGCTCGCGCTCGATAGAATATGCTTTGTAATATATTTGAAGTTGTTTTTTGTTGTTTCGTGTATTCGTTCGTTCATTTCGTTTCGTTTGAAAATCAAATTTAACTTCTAAGAGAATTGACTTCCACAACGAAAAAGCTAAAACTATAATTCATTCATTCAATTCTTTGATAGAGTACCAATTAATGTTTGAGGTGAATAATAATAGATTTTGCTTTTTGTTATAAATTTTTCGTCGTTTCTGTTCGTTGTCTGAACTAATGAATGTGCAAACGTGTTGGTTGGCGAGAATAGCACTTCAACACATTGCAATCAATTAGCAAGTATGAAATGAACTGTAATTACCTCGTCAATTTGCGAATAATGTTTTCTTTACTAAAGAAGACGAAACATACATATATTTTTTTTTTCGGCGTTAAATCGATTAAACCATTCACATTTTTCACTCTCTCTTTCATTTTTGGGCACCGACCCAAAGAACCAACTCATTATTGCATTTACAACTGGGTTTTTTGTGTTTTATACGATACGTGGAATCGACGAGGAAATGTGTAATTTTTCATTCGGTTGTTCATTTTGAAATCAGGAAATATACACTAAGCCGTGTGGGTCAATAATTATAAAAACTAAAAATATGTGTGAAAATTAAATACATATTTTATGTAACAATTAACATTAATGTGTGCTGATCTGTATCAAATTCTGCAATCGAATTGATTTCAACGTTTCAATCGGTCGTTAAGTTCGAAGAATAAATGTGTTTGAACGCTGAAGTGATCAAACGGTTTATGACCCACATTTCTGGTGTTATTGACTCTTGATCTGACATCTAAAAATTGTGTACGCTCATTAATCTCTAAGCAAAAAAAAGGAAATTAATTATTATAGTTGTTGGTTTAATCGCATTTTTTTCGTTACTTTGGTAAGCTTGAAACTCCGGTTATTGTACCCATTGATTGATACATGTTTGCCTTAGCGGCATTCTCAAGATCAAGCATCTTAACCACACAAAAACACACACAGTGTTTTTTTTTTAATCTTTTACCATTACAACAATGTGGAAGAATGGCGTTGGCCATTCGGTCCCAAATCGAATGATAGCCGCGAAAGAGAGCAAAAGTGAGACGTGTGTAGAGAGAATAAAACGACAAGTAATTACACTTTCATTTTTGATGGACAAGGAAGGGCAGCCAATTCAAAATAAGTCAATGAAAATAAAAGTGCATTTTTTTCGTTCGAGCGATTTTCATGCGAAGACATACATTTTATGCCATTTCCTTCTGTAATTACCATTTTAAAGGCCCATAAGTTCTTTTGCTCAGCTGGTCCAAACAAGTGCATACACGTAGGTATTTGTATCAGTATCTGAATGACACCGCATTGCAAAAGAAAAGAAAGAAACAAAAGCAACGATAACATAAAAGAGAAACGAATGAAAAAAAGCGTGAGTCTGTCGAGCGCAAGCTCTTATATCATTTTCTTTCTGATTCCGCGAAAATTGAGCATTTATATTTTGTGCGAATTGTGTAATACATCGCATACCGTTTTCATTGTGAATTTTATTTCAAGTTTTTTTTTCTCTTCTGTCTTTCATTTCGTTCACATATTGTGGAAAAATAAAACGTACAAAGTGGAATAAAAAAAAGCGCAAGCGACTACATAAATAAACCAACCGTACGAACGAATGAAAGAACGAAGAAACAAAAAATTGGCATGAATTCACTTGCAATATTTGTGCATCATCGCTTTATGCACAACGCACATCGTCCGTTTGTGCAGTTTTGCTACATTGTTGCTGTTGCTACATGGCTGAGTACTTGCTGCACTTGTTTCTGTTGTTGTTGTGTGTATGCAGTTTTTTCTACCTTTGCATTCGTCCAAAGTTTTATTTATATTTTTCCAACTCTTAATTATGGTGGCGTATGCACAGTGAAAATTATATAAAATAAATAAAGAAGGCATGCCATACTACTACTCCATTGAAAGTGTATGTGTGTGTGTGTAAGGCATTACGACGGCTCTATTCACAACTGAATGGAAGAAGTATAAGAAGCTTGATTTCAATGTTCACCGTTTCTTTCATAATACATTTTCAATTTTCTTGA